AGCAGGAGTGCTAGTAAATAACCTTTTATCTCTGGGTCCAGACAAGGGGATTGTTAAGAAATCAAGGTAATTATTTATACTGAAATTTTAAAATCTAAGAATACTAGAGCGGTTTAGAAACTAGCATTATCTTACAGTGTTCAGTAGACATTTTCATAATTTTAGATCAAAGTATGTTTTGCCCAACAAGGGAGAGAAGTTCGGTACAAAATCAGGACATAATATAGTATATTTTGAGTTGATTTTGCAAGCAGAAAGATACCAAAAGAAAAATTTCTGCTTCATCTATCAGGAACGAATAGCACCAACAGATGGTTCTTTAGAAATGGACTGAAGAGTAAACCAATGAAAAATAAGACTAGAAGGGAATAATTGCAATTTTATTCTGATATTTCTCTTTGAGAAAGATAGATGTCTTATAGCAGAATAGTGAAAATTGTTGCATAATACGCTTTTTTTTCCTAGAAGCACTTTCAAGTGTGGAAGAGCTGTGTTCAGATCATGAAAAGGTTTGGGGTTTTGTTTGTTTGTTTTTATTTTGAAAGTCTTTGTATATTAGAATTTGGGAAATAAAGTTTGTACTTTTGACCACTTTATGGAAGTGGTCAGCTGAAGCAAACATGAAATACTGGCTTATAGAGTGCTGTTCAACCTGACGTGCTGGTGTCCTTGACGTAACAATCTCTGTGTCTTGGCCTGAGTGGTTAAAGACAACAGTTGATTTCTGTGACTATGGATTTGTTAGTAGCCAAGTCATTTGTAATAGGTTGTTCACAGGGAGAGATTTCCTCCTTGCTGTGGGTTCTTAGTGCTATGTTTTCCCCCTCTCTGCTTAGTTTCCTGCTGGGATGGTGAGTTCAATATGGTGGGAGCGAGGTGCCCAATACAAGGTTAGCAGCAGGAGCAAGGATGCAGAAAAGTGTAGTAAGGGAAACAACTGCAAGGATAAAGTGGAATGTCCCATTTTCTGTAGCAGCAAATCATTGCAGCGGGCTGACGCTGTCTTGAGTCTAACTGCTTTCCCCTGTCCTTCCCCAAAGTGAGGACCTTCAGAGTATCGCTGTCTAACGTCCCAGATTGTGCCATTAGAAGGAAGCAAAAGCAGGGAAATCTAGAGTGTATAGCAGAAAATAACAAAACATATTGAAATTTGATAGCGTGGTAGTTTTGGAGAAATAGAGCATCCTGTTTAAGCCTGTGTAGTTTAAGACACCCACTTTTTTGTTACTGTGGTGCAGCATTAGGATTCAGTATGTTGACAAAATTCATTTGTCCTTTGGAAGTAAAATACCAGATGATCATTAGATGTGCTTAAAACTCTCTGTGCTTACGCCTCACCTACCAAATCTGTTTCTGATACAGAATTTCAGGAGGCGATGCCCTGTGCATTTAGTATTTCTCAGTTAATTCGCTCTTTTTTTTTTTTTGTTGGACTTAAGAGAAGTGCTATTTCATCACATATGAGCCACACTAAAACCATCACTGCTTCTAGAGCAGGAGCTGTGAAAAGGACTCTTTTGTTGAGCAGCTTTTTTGTCATTGATATCCTTTAGAATGTCTGTTTCATTTTCTACGTGAGTTCAGTAGAGCTCACTTGCTCTCCACTGAGAATTGAGATTAAAAATAAACCTTTTGTGATTTTGTTTGGGGGTGCTGAAGTTCCTTGGCATGATGTTCCTTTTGTGAATGTAGTCCAGTTTGTTTTCAAACACTGTAATTGTTATTTCGCCCCCCAGGACTCGCTATATTAAAGCATGTGCTAACGCCACGCGTGAAGGCAACTCATGTAGCCATTGACACAATGAAAGACTATCTGGATGCAGTGTATGATGTGACCGTAGCTTATGAAGGTACTGTGGACCACAAAGGGCAAAGAAAACTGGCACCATCTATGACAGGTGAGTTGATGTATACTAGACATGCTACGGCCATATGCTTGTTAATATACAGAACCAACTTTGGGTGCTTTGTCATGCTCTGAAGATAATCTCCACGGTGCTTCAGCCATCTTGCCACACCTTGGTAGGGCATCAGTCATCGGTGCCTAGGCTTTACAATAGTTACCTGTGACATTCCTGCCCTCCCCTTCCCTATTCCACACAGAGAATATTTCTGTAGCCAAATTCTGCACACAAGTGCTCTTCATACAGAACCAACTTTGGGTGCTTTGTCATGCTCTGAAGATAATCTCCACGGTGCTTCAGCCATCTTGCCACACCTTGGTAGGGCATCAGTCATCGGTGCCTAGGCTTTACAATAGTTACCTGTGACATTCCTGCCCTCCCCTTCCCTATTCCACACAGAGAATATTTCTGTAGCCAAATTCTGCACACAAGTGCTCTTCGGAGGCTGTAGTGCACACTTGGGGCCATAGGCAGGTGCCATTTACCTTCATGTTTCTTCTAGCACTCGGATTTGTCATCATCATAAATTCTCTTTCCTCTGCTGAGCTGCATACATGTACATGTGATCTAATTGCTGAAATGCACATATTTTAAATGGAAAATGTGTACTAGTATTTTATTGGCAATTTTTCAAATTGCTACACATACCCAGTAACCTTACAAACACTCAACAGCAGTTTAAACACATGGGCTTCACTTGCGGTAGTATTTCAAACTACCTACAGCACAGTATTTCTACAGAGAATGCTGTAGAAAGTATCTCTGCAGAGAATGGGGTAAATTAGTTGTATGTTCCTGAAGTAATCTAACCAGAAAATAAGATCTGGGGTTTCTGTTGGAGGAAAACTCTGGGACAGAGAGCTTCAGGGTTTGCTGTTGTATGATTATGCTGTGTGGTGGATTGATGATTTTTTTAATTTTATTTTATTAAATAATTCATTTACTGGCACTGTCACTGGGGGACCATACGTCATCTTTCTTTCCAGTTGTAGTTGATGTGTTACTTGGCCACATCTGTGCACAACTGCCTGTTGCTTGTTGTCTCAAAGTGGTGCTTTTGAGTCTTTCGCACTGCTGATACCAAGTGGAAAAAAAAGCCACAAGAGTTCTGCAGAGCTGTTCCGACTTTTGGGCCAGGGATCTGTTTTGGCTGAGGGACCTGCAGGGAGCTTCTTAGCTAACTCCCTGTTCCTCAGCTGGCCCAGTGTTGGTGGGACTTGTTCCTTCTGCTAAAAATAGTTTGTAGTGTGGCTGTTCCCATGTCACTTCCTTAGCAGGTGTAACTCCTTGAGGTGGTGTGAAGTTCACATGAACTCCTTCCAGGTGGTAGTTGCTTAGAAGTTCTGGAGTTGTCTATTTTTACATTTTCATGTTGTTTAAAACTCTTCTGGATAGCTGAGCAACAAAACTGTTAACACTGTGTATTAACTCAACACTTGTGTTGTATAGTAAGGTCTTAGGATAGTTTTATTTTATGTAAATTTTGTTCCCAACAGACACTTTTTTATGGCTAAATATCAAAATTGCTTTTTAGGATTTAACATTTTTATTTATAATTTTCTTTTGAACTTGATTTTACAGATTGTATTATTTAAAAGTTTTAAATTTTTTTTTTTAATACCTTATGACCTTCTTACAGGCTCCTTTGAAGACTGGGCAGCCTCCCTCTTGTCCTGTCACCCAACCCTTTTCAAGGCCCCCTTCAAAACAAATACAATTGTTTCCCCTTCCCTGCAGCGTATCTTGTTTCGTGACTTAATTATTAGGCAGTTTCCACCATTCTCATGCTGGACATCTTGCTGCCTGATGGTTAATTAAACTATTAAAATGTCATTACCTAATGATAAGATGGCAAACGTTCAAATTCCTTGTAAGACCTCTTCACCTATTGAACCTTCCACATTGCATGAAGCGTGATATGATTACGGGAAGGGACCCAACAAACTGAATTTCCCTGTTGGCTGTTTCCATTGTCAAGTGGTAATCGGATGGTTTGGGGTGGCTACTCCACATCCAGCCTTTTGGGGCCTCCACAGCAGGCAGTCCAGGTGTATCTTTCAGCCACCCTTAACTGTCAGGGCTTGGGTAAGAATAAAGGCAGTAACACAGAATGAAGTGCAACCAACCAGTTGTTAACCCGTTGCAGAGTAGATAAATGAAATATCCATCCAGGGCATTCCACGCTATTGTGGCAGTCACATGTATTCCCTATAATATAAATTATGTAGATTAAGGACACTTACAAATTACAGTGTGGAACATAGTTGTCATTCTTTTAGGCCCTCCAGACATAAAGTGGAAGAAAAGCAATTTCTGTTCTAAGAGGTCAAGATCATTTCACTATTTGTTATGCAGAAGTCCAACAACTGATCTGTTCAGGAATATAATATAACAAGAATTGAGTTACGTGTTGTTAGGCATTTGAGATTTTTTAGCCTTATTGCTCTTTTAGAGTACTAAAATGTCATTTTCATGTGTGCATGTCATACGAACTTCTCATATTTGTGTCAGTGCTGAATGAGAATTCTGTTTTTCATTCTCATCGGAATAAAATGGCAGTGCAATCCTGGTAATTTTTAAAAGATAAGGTTGACATGTCTTTTTAAATCTAGCAACTCTGATTGAAATTTATTGCATGGAAAACAAACTTATGATAAACACAACTTTACTTGAGGACTGTATTTCTCATAGTAGGACATTTCCCATGTGAATGAAATCTGAATTCCACACAGATATAATGTGTTCCTTGAAATGCATTTTACTTTCAGTTCTATAAATCTCAATTCTTCAGAAGAGCCTGTGCCACTTACATACTTGCCCAGGGATATGGTCAGCTCGTGGCTGCTGTCTCCAGTAGTAAACAGAGCAGGTTAAAAGGAACATTTCAGTGACTGAGTAGTACTACCACACATTTATCTGAGAAACTGTGTTAGTAAACTGTAAATAGGAAAAAAAAATCTGAAGAAAAAATGAATCTCATTTTAAATTTTGTAATACGGAACTCTTCGTGTAAATAGACTTTCTTAGCAAAATTAGATATTTTTTTTTCAGTCCAGCGAGCTTAAATATAATAACGTTGACTTGTTCAACAGAAAAAAAAAACATAGTATACTAGCAACTGGAAGATAGACATTCACCATCCTTTCTGCATTAGTGCTTTGAGAAGAACAGTGAATGCCAGGCATACCTAATAACATGATACCTTTTGAGATCAGGCAAATCGTTGTAGTATATCCTTTCAAATGTGTTGAACTGTTTGTTGCTATTTATGCATTTTAACGTTTCGTTGGCACTTGCCAGCTGCAAGTTGTTTGTTTTAGAAGACATCAAATTCGAATAGTCTTAGACAGGGACTAAGATTAGATTAGCTTTAGATGAGGATGTTGCTTTCTGCTGTTGCTTCACATCCATTGCAATGGATGCAATAAATAGCATTTATTAATTATTCATTCCTTTTCATTCCAACAAGTTTGGATCTTGGTATGTTTCCAGTAGAAGCTTGTCCTGGACATCGCAGCCTTTCCAAAGAATAGCAATTTCCCGCAGACCTCTCCCCTCTCACTACTGGAGATGGTTTGTCCAGATCATTAATGACAGAATGTGATGGTCCTACTTAGGGAGGACCGTGCTGCTAGGCAGTGTTTATTTGTGGTCATTAGAATAAGATGCAAATAATCAATCTGGGCACTGTGGCACAGCTGAAGTGCATCTCAGGACTGAATTCTCGAAGAACTGTTTAGAAGGGAAAAAGAGAGGGAGAAACTCTTGTGCTGGATTTGTTGATACTGTTTTACTACAATGTCATTAGGTAAAAAGTAGAAGTAAGCTTGGGAAGAGAGAATGAGAACCTGGTTTTCCCACTTCTGAATTAATGACCTAAGTGTTCACATCCAGTCTTGCCTGGTGTTAAGGGGCAGGTCTCATGGGATGTGGGAACTGTTGTCATTCTTGCACCTGAAAGAGCATTATGTACACATCTACATCTTTATTATTCTGCCTGAAGGCTTTAACATAACCAGATGGTATTTATCTGGCCATTGTAGATTGTGTGTGAAATAGCAGCATGTGACAATGATAAACACTGAATAAAAATAGTAAGTACATGTAGACTGTCTTAAAGAAGTCAGAGGAATTCCTGAGAATTACTGACTCTGCTGTATATCAGCTCCAGAACAAACACTTCAAAAGCCTGTGTATGTGTGCATTTCTGAAAATCCGTACATCACTTTGATCGGTATAATTTGAGGAGGTCAGACTGGCCTACCTTCCCTAGGGGAAATTACACTTTTCCAAATGCTTGCACTTTTGTTAGGATCCAATTAGACAGTGAAGTAGAGGACAATAGAAAAGAATCTGGAGCAATAGAAACCCGTCTTTGTCTGGACTGTGGCCCAAATTTGATCACATCCGTTGTCTTTCAAGGTCCAAAGAATGATAACAAGCACATGGTTATATATGTTGAAAGAATTAAAAAACTAAATTAATAAACTGATAAACAGTAACAGGAATGTGAAACAGTCCAAAGTAAGATTTATAGTGATGAAATGACTAATAATCTGTCCAGATCTCAGCTAGCTGTCACGTTCTTACTGCATGAAAGAATATTGAAAAGTAAATGGCAATTATTTTAGAGCAACTGAAAAAAGGATGTAGATCAGAACTGAGGCTGGACATCAGCATTGGTGAAATTTGCATGAAGTGTAGGATGGCGTTTTAACATGTGTAGTAAACCTCACATCAATAACTTGTCGTTCTGCATCTGTTCAAGCAAATTTTAAGTAACTACCTTTCATATTTCACAACATAAGATTTTTACATTGGAATATTTGGAGGAACTTGGATAACAACACTAGTTGGCAACATAGTTCTGTAATATTCTATCATACATTTTTCCTTTAAAGGAAAACCCTGGGTTTATTTTGTGTAAAATATTAAAGTAGAACTTTTCTAATAACATGACTTCACCAGGTACCACAAAGTAAGTAAACTATCAT